TTAATTTTAATATTATATTTATTTATTTAATAAAATATATCATAATTATAATTTTATAATCTTAATTATGTCATATCATAAGTATATCATTTCCATAGCATCTCAATTTTATTTTGTGGCCAAACAGCCCGCGAACATGGGAATCTCAATTTCATGGAATCATGGGGAATCCAACCCGCAAAATAAAATGAACACCTCAGGACAACATGCCTGCGGAGGAATGGAATTCGAAACCCCAGAGAGTCTAATAAAAGTGGTTAAGGCTGAATGTGTCGGCCTTTAAAAATGGCCAAGAAAAATGCATTGGGAGTGCCAAAATCCCATTCTTTTTCTTGCTTTGAGCTCAGTTGTGCTTGGGCTGAGCTGAGCTTCATTCATTTCTTAGATCCGTGATCTCTCTCTCTCTTGTTGTTCTCTACACCATGCCATCTTTAATTTGTAGTCTAAGATGAGTCATGCGAATTTTTCCCCTCATCACATGTTTATTTTTACTTAACATGGGTAACGGGATATGATAATATTGTAATTTATCTGTCAATTTATATGTATATATATATATATGTGTGTGTGTGTCTGTTTTATTTATTTTTGTTTTATTAGCTATTCTAGTACATGCATAATTGATTTGGTGATATTTTCACATTATTAACTTTGAGAGTCATATTCCAAGATGTACTAGTGTTACAAAATGAGGGAATAATGGCATGTGGATCGTCTTTAAAAGCGGTTTTAAATAAGGGGTTTTTTTTTTTTTTTTTTTTTAAGTTAATTTTTTTTTGGTTTTTTGTATGAGCTTGAAATTTTAATCTTAATTTTAAATTAAAAAATTTTAATTAATATGTATCAACTCAATTAAGTGGTTGTTGAATAAGGAGATGTTATTTTGTTAAAATGAAAATTGTAAAAAGCACGTTCATATATTTTGAATATTTCATTCTAAGTTTTAAAGATATGATTATAATCATACAATAAATTATGAAAGTTACACAAAATTTTAAATTTTTCTTTAAAAATAATGATTTTATTTAATTTGACTATTTTAACCAATTAATAACTATAATTGTTAATTGATAAATAATAAAATAATAAAATAATTAATATTTATTACTTAACATATTAAAATTAAT